CCCCCCCCCCCCCCCCCCCCAGCATCATCTTCAACATACACAAAGTTTTTTTTGGAGGTTACGAAACTGTAAGCATAAAAATGCTTTTGCCTGTTTTGCAAAGAAACCTTCTGAAATTTGATTCATCATTAAATACCAAAGTAACAACTCCTTCCCTGAAACTCAACTGGAAGAATGTAATAATACTCATCCCTTGGCCCTCCAGGTGGCTGAAACCAGAGATTCCTTGAAGCTTGCTCATTCTTAGGACACAAATAACATACAAGTACCAGTTACTAACTTCTTCAACAGGGTAACAAAAAGAACCAGAAGGGGGTGAAAAGAGGCCTAAGGAGCCAATTCAGAAAACCACGACAGAGCCCATTTGAGGTTTGGGACAGAAACAATTTAAAACTCTGCAAAATACTTTTTAAAAACATGATCTCTCTTGAAAAAATAACTGGAGGAGCTTTTAAACTTCTCCGTATGTGTCTGAGGAGGAAAAAACCCAACAAGGATCAAAAATACAGATAAAAAATAAACATAATTCTACTTTGCAAGAAGTATTTTCATCGTTCTCAAGGGTGGCTCACCATTCCCAAAGTACGCTTGGGGCTTTAGTCTCTCTTGCTCTTTGCTCCTTTCTTCCTGTTTCTTCCTCTTCTGCTCCCAGAACGGACGCAAAAGTCTTTGGTCTCAGAACACTGGATGCAGCACAGTGTTGCAAGCACATACTAACGGTGTTCACACTCGGGGAGGAGGCAGGAAGGAGCGAGGGCTGGTCCTGCTGAGGAGATGGGATGGGTGGGTTGTTGTGGGGAGTCAGCTCCTAGATGGCTCCTTCACTGTGCATACTGTGGTTGGGCTTGTTGTGAGTCACACAGTTCTGCTCGTTCAGCAGGTTTGCTGTCTCGTCCGGCAAACCGTCGTGCAGCTCCGTAAGAGTCAGTTCAATTTTAGTGTTTTCACTGTCCGAGGACTGAGGTGTTTTGTCCATCCGGGATGCCATCAGGGCATTTTGGTACTGCTGTCTTGAGATCTGCTCCAAGAAGAGAAGGAAGGAACAAGAACAGCCAGTCACACTTGTGTGTCTCCCGTGGGACACACTGAGAAGATCAAGCGCCCTCCCCTTTCCAGATGATCACACTTCAACCCCTCTTTACCTGTTCCTATAAAACATCCCCTGCACTTTGCAGGACCAGAGCATCCCACCCCAACACCACAGCATGGTGACACTTCTATACAGGCTGGTGATGGTGCCATCACCATTCTGGTCAAAGGCAGGGACTTATTCCTATGCAGAGATTATTAAATCAGATCTCAATTTCATTCTAACCATGCACACTTTTAGGGCCAGAACCAGAGCTCAGTGAAGTCTTTCTCCCAGCTTCAGCAAGCTCCTGGTGAGGCTCTAAGAGTCCCTGTAGAGCCAGAGGGTACAAGCACTACTGCTCTTGTCTAGGCCAGCAAATGCAGCAGGAGCTACAGCCTTATTCTGACACAGATGGACATTTGACTCTAGAAAAGACTGGGATCTCCATAGAGATGAGTCCACATTAGCAACCCGTAAAGTCTTCCACTGGTTTCTACAAGAGCTGGTTGCACTCAACAGACCAGTCCTGACAGGAGCTGGCCCAGAGCACGGCGTGTTCCTGCCCAGGAAGCCCATAGCCCCCTGTATCTGCACATGGTGGTAGAGGGGAGAATTCCTCCTGGAGCCACGGGCAACCAGCCCCCTAAACTCCTCCAGGTCACCCTTCTCAGCCAGGACAGGCAGAGGATGCACATGCACCGGCAGCCCCGTGTGCTGCAACAGCAGTGGGTTATCTCAGCAGGCAGAAGGCGGAAGAGGTGAAACAAGACTTTTAAAAAACCTTAAGTTTCAGTAGCAATGCAAGAAGGGGACTGGAAATGGAGAGAGCCAGATGGACCAGGTCACAACTCCAGAAGCAAAGCCCAAGCATGCACGAGCAGGTCACAACCCTGGTTTACAAGTTATTCGTTGAATAAATTCCCATGTGGCACAGTGAAAACAGTAATGTTTGGTATTGAGTCTATGTGTAAAGCAGAGTGATGCAAAAACAGGAGTGCGAGTCTGATTGCAGAGACACCAGGCAGTTTGGTGTTCACTAGCCCCAGTATGAACACAGTGGGAGCTGGAAGGACTCCACATACACCAGCGTAAGATGTTCTGTGCAGCCAATCAGCCATGGAAATCTGTAGCCAAGATCTTGAATCACCAGCCAGGTAATAAATATTGACTGATCTAAACCTCAAAGGCTTGAGCCATCGACCAGTACACTGGCATATGTCATGTTTTGAAGGCAAGACCGTACTCTCCTTTTAAAACTTGGCTACAGAATAATCGATTTAGTATTCTAGTATTTCAAGTCTATTCCACATTCTTAATATTGAATTAACTTTGAGACAAGTTGAGTTCACAAATTGTTTGAGTTGCATACAAAGAAACCATGAACGTGCACTTAATTTAAGAAAAGCATCAAGGTCAACTTCTGGCCATGGGACGTCAGCTTCCCTGGAGTCCCAGCTGGGCTGGAAGTGCTGCCAGCATTAGCTGTTCCTCAGCTGGATTTCCAATCCCACAGGACTCGCACACATTTTGGTGTGGGATGCACCATGCCGGGGGTCAGAGCTGTATTCATGCAGCAACTCACTGGTAGTATGAGACATGAACCTAACATGTGAAGTTAAGATAAAGAGAAATGTCCAAGACTTCTCCAAGCAGAAGAAGGATGACGGCTCAGAATGTTAAGATCAAGAACCCCAAACTGAAATCAAAAGTGAATGAAATCTGCAACCAACAGAAAATGTCTTATCCTTTAGGAAAGGACACTGTCTGATAATGAAGGGTCTCCATTTCGGATGGCTCCAAAGGCTTCACAAGGATACGTCTTTCACGAATAAAAGCAGAGAGAGATTATTTTCTATAATCTTTCCTTGAGGGACCTGAAATCCAGAAACTTACGTGACCAATCTACTTACAGGCCTGAACGAGAGGAACAGTGAAGACAAATCAACGGACAACAGACATTGGAAAAAAATAAGTTAAAGTGATTTTTAAACATCTGCTTTCATAATGCTATGGGTCCCTCATAATCTAGAGGGACCTCCCCTTCCCCAGACTCTCCATCCTACCAGCCAAGCCCAGCTTTCCAGCAGGACCTTCCCAGCTCTTTTTTCCTACCTTGACAAACTGAATATCTGTGAGTGCTTTCACTGAGTAGTCCGGGACATACACTTGGAGGAAAGATGCATTGAGCTGGTTGTTGCTGCTCCCTAACGTTGGCGTCACCGCATCGATGCGATCGCTTCGGTTTAAAGAGTCGGAGTGGTTCAAGCCGCAGGGCCGGGGCGGAGACTTGTTTTCGGCTGAGAAACGGGCAAGAGCGAGAGAGTTCTTAAACCAAGTAGAAAACATTTAAAGTCACCAGTTGCAAAGGGACATAATAATAAATGGCAACGCAGCACAAACGAACTGCAAATATTTCATCCACTCATAACTAGACATGCAGCTAAACAACCAAATTACCCTGAAAAAGAGCAATTTTTGAGTCCAGAGCTGGTAGCCGACATCACTGACTTTGCCTTAAACAAACCTGGTTTTGTTTGTGCTGCAGTGGACATGCCCTGTGCGTGGCTGGTCACAGCCCTTCAGCTGATGAGTGCTAACCACCAGAGGAAGAGAATTTTCTAAGGCTCCCTTATAGAAGCTCTTCATCGTCAGACCCTGCTTAACAGATACATCTTTTTCTTTCCTTAATGATTTATAATCACAGCTCCGTACCAGACCTTCCATCCACAGTCAGTCCCAGCTAACACTTAACCCCTTTTATTCCACCTGGTACCTACGTATGCCCTGTTCTGAGTTAAAATAGACTTTTTCAAAATCCTAAGAGTGATAGAGTCCTCAGTGGACCCAAGTGCAGTCCTCGTCATGATTCCTTCAACATTTCCTCCAGTAACCCCCAGTGCTTGAAGGGGCAAACACTCAACAAAGGAGAGCAAGCTCCATGTGGTACTTGCCAGCCAGCAAACCAGGGGAAACAGCCCATGGCACAGAGAAAAATCTGTGTCCAGGAAAGGAGTCAACTAGAGACATCATTTTCCATCACTGGCCTGGGTTTTCACTTGAAAACCTCGCAGCCGTCCCCTGTGAGTGTGACTGGTCACAGTTTATCTCAAGTAAATGTGCCTTCAGGAAGCCACAGATGTTTTGCACCTCTAGCTTCCACCCACCCAGTGACCCAGAAGACAGGAGGGCAGAAATGCATCCTAAGAGAGATCCCAAGCCCCCCTGCAGATGGGCTGCTCCCTTGGTGCACGCACAATACATACTGATCAAAGAACTGTCATCGGGACTGGTGGATTTGGGGATCTTAGTGCAGTTAAATTTGATGTAAACTCTGCTTCTCGCCACGTGACCCCCATTCTCAGCTGAAAGACCATTTTCATATACTCTTAAGACACAAAGCCTCTTCAAGCAAATCAGCAGCAGCATCCTTGCAAGCTTTTCAAATTCTTCTTTCAAAGATTTTTCTCTATATAAACCTATTTCTAAAACTCAACCCTACCTCTGCCACTTAATCACTATAAATATAATCTCTCCTTGCCCAAATGAGACAGCCTGTCCTGCATCTCTGCCTCCCCCCTTTCCTAAACCTAACGCTTTAGATGCTTCTAGACGCATGGCAAAACTGCCCTGTTTTTTACTTCCCACTTAAAATCAATCCTCTGATGTTGTCTTTCCTTCAATTTTAGAAAAGGGAACAGAAAAATACAGGTTCTGGCAATTTCTGCACCGAGGAATTAGCGCAGGTCCCTACGGCAACTCCAAGAACAGGCTCAGGGGGAAGCACTCGGGGCCCTGCAAGGTTTTCTTCCATACTGACTTGGCATCTGGAAAGCCACAGCAGGCTGCAGGAGCTGCTGCCAGGAGCCAAACCTCTCCCTACACTCCAGTTCCCACTGGAGAACAAGGACCTGTGAGGGCTGGGTGAATTTGTCCTGTCTTTCCCACCTGTGTACACAAAGCATGTGACAAGAACAGCATCGCTGCTGCTCAGGATAAAGGCATCCATCTGGAAGAGCTTTACACTAGTGAGACTTGGATCTGCTTTTTCTTTTCACCAGGGATCTTATAGTACATTATTAATAAAAAAAACAAAGAAAGACAGCAACATGATAAAGCATATATTAACAAACAAACAATCAAAAGGGACAGGTGAAACTAAAGGACAGAACAAAAAAGTATGATTATTGAAAATCTGAGGGGGGAAGGACATCACTTCTGGACCAAGTACAAGCCAGGGAAGGAGAAGAGAAGTTAATGGAGAAGGAAGGATACGGAAAGGGCAGAGGACAGAGAATACCAGGCAGGTCTGTGTCTGCAGAACAGCCCCCTGCCAGCCCCTAGCAGCCCAGCCCAGATCTGGACAGAACTTTCTCCCCAGGTTTTCTCATACTCCTCACCTTCCTATACAGGGGATAAAGAGCACAAACCACAAGACAAACATCAATAGAACTGTTTTATGAATTTGGGGTTAAACAACAGACTGCAGCAGAAGGTCCGAGTTTCATCAAAACTGGTACCACGTTTGTCATAGTGACCAGGCTTACCACATCAGCACCTTGCAAAGGAGAGTCTTCCCATTATTATTAAGAGAAGTTAATGGAGAAGGAAGGATACGGAAAGGGCAGAGGACAGAGAATACCAGGCAGGTCTGTGTCTGCAGAACAGCCCCCTGCCAGCCCCTAGCAGCCCAGCCCAGATCTGGACAGAACTTTCTCCCCAGGTTTTCTCATACTCCTCACCTTCCTATACAGGGGATAAAGAGCACAAACCACAAGACAAACATCAATAGAACTGTTTTATGAATTTGGGGTTAAACAACAGACTGCAGCAGAAGGTCCGAGTTTCATCAAAACTGGTACCACGTTTGTCATAGTGACCAGGCTTACCACATCAGCACCTTGCAAAGGAGAGTCTTCCCATTATTATTTTCCATTATTGATTATATTTTTTTTTTTTTAGTTGGGGAAAAAGCTAGGAAAATATGCTTGGCATTTATAATGGAAACAACTTGCATGCGCAAAGTGTGCACTTATTTGTAGCAAGGAGAAGGAAAAAGAAAAAAAAAAAAAAGAAGACCTGGCAAAACAAAAGAACTGAGCGAAAAAAAGATAATCAAAGCCACCGAGCTTAAAAGAAAGCCATCAGGTACTTTAATTAAAGCAAGATTAAATTTCTCCCCCCTCTTTGAAGTTTAGCAGCAGGAAACTTTAACTGGGCAGGAAAAAAATCCCCTGCAGGGCAACAACCTGTAGTTTGTTTGGAATGTGCATGAGACTAATTTAAGGACCGATGGTGAAATACATTTTCAAAAGTGAAAAAAGAAGAGGGGGAAAACACAGGAAGCAGATGGTGAAAGTTTATGAAACGCATGATACGTATTAATGTTTAGGAGATGTTTCACTTAAATATGCATATCATTATCTCACTTGCTTTTAGGTCTGGGGAAAGACATTTCATCTGAAAAAGAAAACTTCAAAAAGGAAGAAATACGTTCACTGTGCCCCAATCTATTTTAGGATTCTGCTCTTCCTACAGATTTTCTTGACGGGTTTCCATTTTTCTCAACTACTCTGTGCACGCAGTGTCTGCAACGCTTGGGGTTCGATCCTTCCCAATTTCCAGGCGCTCAACCGCATCTCAGAGCTCTTTTGGACCCAATTTGTTCCCTCCTTGGTCTCTGCTCTCCAAAGGGATTTCTGTGTCAGTCAACTTGGTTATTCGGCAAGGAATAGGTCTGAAGGAAAACGGGAACCAGAAAACCCCACAGGAGGTCCCACAACCTTCTGGCACGTTCCTCTGCAAATCCATCCAGGCGGTGACTGGCTGTGCCAGGGCATTACCCTCGCTGAGAGCTCAGAGCTTTTGAGGAACTGGAACAGCCACCATGTACACAAACCATAGAATTTACCCATAGGAGAATATGAGAATTCTTTCATTAAAGAAGTTTTCCTTTTATGGCAGTTTAGCAGCAGACATTCACCTCTGCCAAATGCATTCTCTTCAGACATTTTTAAGCCTCGGCTTGGGGGAGGATACCTTTATTTTAAAAATCCTCCCTTGCTAATTCTCCCCCAGCCGTACATAGGAGAAACAAGAACAAGCACACGTTACCAAACACATTTTCTTCGACACGTTTTCAGCTCTTCCCATTTTGATGACTCTCAGTTACCACAAAGGAAAAGTTGCGGATACCTACCTGCGAGGGATAACTCTGTGCTGGACTTCTCCCTAACGAGCAAAGGGGTCAGATAAATACAGACTGCAGCTGACTTTTTATGGCATCAGGGCAGTCACAAGAACGGTGAAAATAGAAGCATGCGGATTTACCTGGAGAACCTGCTGCTAACAACTCTGTTCTGCTGACAACAAAGGTACGAGACAGGGACAAGGGAACTAGAAGAGGGAGAGAAAAAGGATGAGATCACGACCAGAAAGGCGGCAGCTATCCACACTCGACAGGGGAAGGAGCCAGTTCACACACTGAAGAACTAAAACCAACAGTGCAAATCAACTGTGAAAAAGCAAAGGGTTAAAACACAAGCAAAACCAAAAAAAAAGACAATTAAACAATTTTAGGGCTAAACCAAAAAACAAGCCTGAGGAATTACAGTGAGGTGAACAATTTTCACTTGCTAATTTGAATGGTTATCCATCAAAGTACACTCAGTTTTAAGCTAGTTCAAAAGGAGCAGCGGTGCCCACTCCAGTCTGGAAGGCAAAGAGTTAAAACAAACCAGAAGGCTTTCACAGGTGCTGTTCCTTAGGGGAGACAAAACCAGAAATAAAACCAAAGGACACTTCACAGTTCTTCAAGTTTTCAGTAAAATGTCAAGCGAGGTTGTGACTCTCGGAGCTCCCCCCGTCAGGCTGGGTGCCACTGCTCATCATCACTGCAAATCCCTCCCCAGCTGGGGTTAAAGAAAAAAGCTTCACTCTTTTGTTGGTTTGGGGTTTTGGTGGGGGTATTTTGTGGGTTGGTTGTTGTTTTTTTAATGCTTTACTCTCCTGTTACTGATTTAACATTCCAGGTGAGGAGGGAAGGCACGTGAAGTCTAATGAGGACACACAGAAGAGCAGGAGTTTTCTCGTGTTCTGCAGTGACTTATACTTCCCCTGAGCTTTCCTGTCTTCACAGAGCAATAGGATTTTATTTTTATGAGCTCATCCCAACAGAAAAAATCAATACATCATAAAACAAATTCTCTAAAACCTGGAGAGAAAGCCAGCAAAATGAGGGGTTTGCTACTGGTAAAAGCCAACCAGTCAAAGGGTACACAAATCCAAGGCTGGCAGAGATTAATTTAAAATACTCCATATCCTTAAGTTTGACACGACAAAGTCCAAGCCGGATTTCAGAGCACATGAAGAGGAGATCATTTGCCCTCGTGGGACTTGGGCAACTTGGACATGGTCATGGGGAGGGCTAGCAACACACCAAAAAAAAAGCTCCACATGAAAACATTCAAACGGAGCAATGCTGGCAAACCAGAGATGCCACAAGTGATTTCCAAGCGTGGGTCTGGTAGGTGGAGAGACCATGCCTGACCCAGCCCCGTGCCCAGTCCATAGTGGGAAAATGAGGGTCTGCGAAGCTCCGCACGCTTTCAAATCTGTCAAACCTCAAAAGGTATAAGCTAAACTGATCAAATTAAAGTGCACATAATAAGGGAAGAATTAGTCCTGCCTGTAGAAGTGAGCTCGCACGTCCAAGAGAACTGCTGTTGTCTGTAGAGTGAAATAAAGCTATATTCATAGCTTACAAAATCATTTTCATTCCAATGTCGCTCGCTGCTGTGCGCACACAGAGGCACACACACGTAAAGGACGTGCTCACGAGGGTACAATTAAAACACGCTGCCTCTCACATGGAACATAAACCCAGGAGGGCCTGATCTCAGCATGAGAAACGTCTCTCCCTGAAGCTGAGCGAGTGGCTCTGGGTCAGCAGATGGCCAAGGCCAGTACCAGCACCCCAACTCTCCCCAACGGGGCTGTGGGTTCCCAGTTGAGGTTGAGGTCTTAGTGGTGACACTGCCGGCACCGAAATACATCCCCAAATGCTGGAATACAGCACTGGAGCCTGCTCTTGGTGGGTTATAAAACAATCCCCCAACCTATGTCTGTGAGGTGGTGGCTTGTGTGGCTACCTCTTGTGTGCCAGGAACTGGCTCACACCTGGGTGGGAACTGGCTCAGGCCGTGGCCTCAGACACCCGTCCTCCTCCCTCGCCGAGTTCTTGGTTGTATTTCCACCCTCGGACAGGAGCAATGGCTTTTGGTGCGTGACTGCCCTCCTCAAGAGGAGGAACAGGACTGGTAAAGCCAACCACCACCAAACTGACCAGGCGTTTGTAGTTTGCACCACTAGATGTCCCTCTGCCACTAATGATTTATTCCCGTTAATTCAGCCCCCGTTACCCAGTCCTTCAGCACCAAACACATCTCCCTAAGGCTCACATCCTCCAGGAGCCAGCAATCGGCTCTGCTGGGTTTTGGAGTCGGTGCCACCACGGGCCCAGGCCCTTCCCAGGGAAGCTGTGCCAGGCAGGCAGCTCTGCTGGCCAGGAGATACCCTGGACATCGGCCCCAAGGACACATGGCAGGGGGATGTCCTGCCCACGGGGACGGGCAGGCTCATGAGGGAGCGTGTTCCAGAAGCAGAAGGTGAGAGGACCTACCTGGCGATGCTGTGAGGGCCATCACCCCATAGTAGGAAAAAGCACCAGCTTCAAACTTCATCCCCTCTTTCCCAGCCTCCACTTCCACTTTCCCCTGTTAAGGAAAAGGAGAGAGAGCTGCAATTAAAAGGGACCGTAGGTCTCGAGGCACAAGACCAGACCTGAGCCCTGAAAGCTGGTTTTGCCTGATGTTCCTAAGCAGTGTCATGGTCCCTGCAGTTTGTAGCAGTGCCTGAACAAGGAAAGACCCTGGATGGCAACACACCAGCTGTCCCGGCTCTTCGGTGGCCCGTGGCCAGCCTAAGTCCCTGCAGAGGAGCGGGATCACCTCAGGGCACCAGTGTGGTACCCTTGGCCTGCTCCAAGTGGTGCCAGGCTGCCTTCCCTCCACCCAGGGAAAAAATGCTCCCCCAGTATCACAACACGCTTATATGGAGCACAGTCATCTGGGGGCTTGAGACATCTTGACAATTTAGGTCACAGCTCTCATCCCTCTACCACAAACATAAGAAAGGGAGTTGGGAGTCAACATGCGAGGAGGCTGGCTGCCTTCACCGATGGGATTCCCACAGAAACAAGGCCCTTAACCCTGAAGGAGCAATCTTGGGGCTACTTTGGTTTTCTTGGTTTCTAGCAGTTTTACATATTCCAGCACCCTTAACTTAAGATCCTGCTCTTTCAAGAGGTAACGCCTAGAAGGACCCTCAGTGCTTCCCACACAAGTGTACCCATTTCTGATAGTGGCTGAACCAAATGTTTAGCACCACATCCTACAAAGGACTCTAGAACAGAACCCATCACACCAAACGTAGCTGTAAACAGAATCACAGAATCCCAGAATGATCTGGGGTTGGAAGGGACCTCTGGAGATCATCTATTCCAACCCCCTGCCAAAGCAGGGCCACCCAGAGCAGGTTGCACAGGAACGTCTCCAGGTGGGGTTTGAATGTCTCCAGAGAATGAGAACCCAGCCCCCCTCTGGGCAGCCTCTGCCAGGGCTCTGCCACCCTCACAGCAAAGAAGTTCCTCCTCATGTTTAGATGGAACTTCTTATGTTCAAGGTTGGGCCCATTCCCTCTTTTCCTGTCCCTGGGCACCACTGAAAAAAGACTGGCCCCATCCTCCTGACACCCACCCTTGAAGTATTTATAGGTGTTGATCAGATCCCCCCTCAGCCTTCTCTTCTCCAGACTAAAAAGACCCAAGTACTTCAGCCCTTCATCGTAGGAGAGATGCTCCAGGCCCCTCATCATCTCTGTAGCCCTCTGCTGTCCCCTCTCCAGCAGTTCCCTGTCCTTCTGGAACTGGGGAGCCCAGAACTGGACCCAGTGCTCAAGATGGGGCCTCCCCAGGGCAGAGCAGAGGGGCAGGATGACCTCCCTCCACCTGCTGGTTACACTCTTCCTGATGCACCCCAGGATGCCATTGGTCTTCTTGCCCACAAGGGCATATTGCTGGCTCATGGTCATTCTCTTGTCCACCAGGATTCCCATGTCTTTTTCCTTAGAGCTGAACACCCAGTAAACATCCCAGTTACTTTGGTATAACTGGCTTCTTAGTGGCGCCTGGTTTCACATCCATCCATCCCTACTGGTAGTGCTCTGAGTTACAGCACACCACCACAGACAGGAGAAATCTCATGCAACTTCCAGGCTGTACTACACAAAGTTGGGATTTCAGGCAAACAACCAATTACCTGCAATGCTTTCCCTCTGGCTACACTGGAAAGAACAGACAGACTGCCCATCCCATGTGTACTAAATAGACTGAACATCAACTGGACACCATTGGGTCAAAATGAGTCCAAAAGGTAGATTTTATTTCTGTGTGTTCATTTCATTAAGGACCATATAAAATAAACAATCACACCTTTAATTTTGCAGTACTGTACTGGAGCAGAATAATGTGAAAATGAACTCAACTTGCATGAGCCTTGACACCAAGTCAGTTTGTCTAACTGTCCCAGGTGAGAAAATCCACAAACTCTACCTAGCAGAAGAGAGTGCCTGCTCACAAATCCATTTTCCCTGCTATCACAAGCAACAACTTCATATAATCCCTTTTAAAACCAATTTCACTCCACAACCCAAATAAGTAGCTTATCTGTTCATGAGAAGCCTTCCAAAAGGTACGATTTCATCACCCAGGCACAGTCTGGTTATGAACAGAGCTCTCAACCTACTTACTGCTGCCAAGAGCTCATCAGCCAAGACCAGGTCTCCAAAACACACACACACACCTGGACTTTGATCTTCACATACAGTCAGTCTGGAGGTAGTAGCTAAATCCAAACTAGTAACTAGTAGTAGGAGTTAAGTTTCAGTTCCAAGACCATTGCTCTATCAGCACATGCAGCACCACCAAGCTTCCCAGTGGTGGCCATCTGAAGACCAGGCGTGCTTGGCCATTACCAAGGCCCCATCTGGAGTGCTGTGTCCAGCTTTGGAGTCCTCAACACAGGAAGGGCATGGACCTGTTGGAATGGGTCCAGCAGAGGGCCACGAAAATGCTCTGAGAGCTGGAGCACCTCTGCTGCAAAGACAGGCTGAGAGAGTTGGGGGTGTTCAGCCTGGAGAAGGCTCAAAGGAGACCTTATAACGGCCTTCCAGTACCTGAAGGGGCTACAGGAGAGATGGGGAGGGACTCTTGATCAGGGAGTGGAACGATAAGAATGAGAGGTAAGGAGGTGTTCAAGGTGAGGTTGGACGGGGCTTTGAGCAACCTGGTCTGGTGGGAGGTATCCCTGCCCAGGAACTGGATGATCTTTAATTTCCCTTCCAACCCTGACCATTCTGTGATTCTATGATTGAGAATTCCCCGTGTGTGCTACTGGATGTGCTCTGTCCTGTTTAAATGCGTGCACGTGTCACCACTGGTCTTCCACTGTTTCATGTTCTAACAGGAATTTTGAAAAAACACAATGACAAAAACAAATCTTAAACTGCTACAGAGGGACTTCCCCTTAGCTAAGAGAAGAGCTGCGGCAAACAGGTGACGTTGTAGATGAAGGAGTAACTCTACAGAGATTAAATTGGTAAATTTAACACACAGGATATATATTTGTGTTCTGGTATGCATTTACTGCAAACGTGCTTTGGCCTCTCGAAACAAGACAGTAAGTCCAAGTCCATTTAAGTAACAAAAGCAGAGTGTTTATCCTCTCTTGATACTTGCAGAATGAACCCTGTTACCATTTTTATAATATGTACCTACTTCAAGATGCACTTTTTCAAAGTCATCATAGAGCTAGCACATTGTGTTTGCTAAATATCTATTGATTGAAGAATAGCTCAGAAAGAACTGATTGTTCCTTGGTATCGCCCATGCCCTCCATTTCCACCTTTGTAGCATTACCTCATTCAGGAGCATTATCTTGCCTCTTGGAATATTTCGGATTGCAACAAGTCAGCACACTAAGAAAGAGCAGCTAAAGAGCTACCAGAAGCTCCTCAAACCCTTAAGTTGAATCCACAATATCATAACCCAGTGCTTTCTTAATTGTTTATCACTAAGAGTGTTTAAATCTTCCTCCCTTTTTTATTTAAGGCCACGTTGAGGAAGATTTCAAACCTTGTGTTACAACTTTAGCTGTGATGCTTGAAATTCTATGACCAAAACTGATTTCAGTTATGCAGCATAGAAACATAAGCACCTTTACAGCAAAATCTCTCTTAAAGGACTGTTCCTGCTCAGACGATGCTAGATGGAAGCTAAATTTCCGTGCAAAGCTTTACTTTTCCATTCAAGTGTTTCTCTCAAGCAATAAAACCTGGGAGATAATAAAACCAGGGCACTGGAAGCAGCCCTGCACAGAACAAGTAGAAAACAGTCCTTCTACACCACAGGAGTTGTCAGGGAGCGGAACCATAGGACAAGAGGTAATGGTTTTAAATTGAAAGAGTGGGGATTGAGTTTAGATACTAAAAAGAAATTCTTTGCTGTGAGGGTGGTGAGACCCTGGAAGAGGTTGCCCAGAGAAGCTGTGGCTGCCCCATCCCTGGAGGGGTTCAAGGCCAGGCTGGATGGGGCTTGGAGCAACCTGGTCTGGTGGGAGGTGTCCCTGCCCAGGGCAGGGGGGTAGAACAGGATGATCTTTAAGGTCCCTTCCAACTCTGACCATTCTATGATTCTACAAGGCTCCAATTTAAAAGCACCCAAATGCAGTGATCTCGGGGTAGGGCCATGGCAGGGGCCGTGGCAGGAGGTGGCAGCAGTTCAGCAGATGGCACAACGCCCCCGCCGAAACCGGTGCTTCCCACAGCACCAAAGATAGAGGCTTCAAAGCTGCACAGCAAAGTGTCATCGCTCTGAACTCCCCACATCTCCTTTTGCAAAAGGGCAAAAGGCACCAGAGAAAGCATCCTGGCCAAACTCCTACGACATGCCATTGTTTGCAGCCCTGTTTTCTAGGCGATGCCAGCTGTACACCCGGATTCACTGGCATTGCCTACCCTAGCGATCCCTAGAGCAGAAGGAAGTTTCAACAGATGACTGGAAGTGGGAAGTGCTACCTGCCCTTCACAACTGCTTTAACCGAGGCTGAAAGCAGCTGAATGAGCCCTTCAATGCTGGCAAGGACATAAAGGAGGCAGGAGCAGCTCCCAGGAGCCACAGTTCCATTCTCATGCTTGAAAGAAGACAAACTGGAAGCAGTATAGAGAGGGATATGTCAGGAGATGCAGGGTTTTGCATATATCTACATAATCACATGTCTGACCTGTAAAATGAGAACAAAGTAGTCGACGGGCTTGTTTCGCTGGTAGAGGTAGTGTTCTGGGGCTTTCTTGTTCTTCTCGTCGTATTTCAGCTCCTGGATGACGTTGGGATGTTTTAGCAGCCTGAGAAGGATCTTCTCTGACATCTGGGATGGACCAAAGGCTTCTACTTCTATAACACAAGATACAACTTGGCATTAATCTTCATATGCCTGGCAAGAAGTTAGCAGTACTCGTTAATAAGCATTTGCCTATAAAGGACACACAGATGCAGAGAGATCCGTTATGGAATTGCAGGCTTCCTGTCTTTTGAGACTGTTAGATTTTAAGGGGGGGGAAACCCAGGAACGCCTCAACTTTCATTACTGAAGTATTTTGCAAAACAACCGAAAACCATGTCTTCATCTGAAAGGGAAAGAAAAAGGCAGTTTTGCCTCTTTAGAGTTCAGAGTCACAGTTGTATAGGGTCATTGGAGAGTCGTATAAATGGAAGAGCTTAAAAATTGGGGCACAGAGAATCTTTGAATTGTTTTTTCCTTCCTCACAAGGTATTAAAGTCACTGCATTTATTGCATTTAAAAAAAATAAATTAAAAATCACTGTGTGGGGACTAGAAAGTTGCTCTAGATAGATGCTCTACATAACTCAAAGACACAATTAGGGTTGCCACAGTTCACGTGGGAAGAGTTACTCAAAGTGAGAGACAGTGCGGGTCAGTTCAAACCGTGTGGGATTAATGCCTGACACACAGAACACATCCCCTATCCACTTGCTCTTCAGGGTTCCCAACAGGAGCTGTTTGAAGCGGAAAAGCTCATCCTTGTGTTAAGGCAGGGACGTCGAGATTGACACATGCAAATTGATAAGCTTTCCTGACACCTCATTTCAGAACAGGGCCGTTAACGACCCAGTACCTTTCATCTGCTAAAGATACTATTCTCGGTTTAGAACAGAGAAACCCAAACTGTAGCTTTCATCTTATTTAGCAGCAGTTTCACAGCCAGACCCGGATTTAAGCTACACAATCCTTTCATCCACAAAACAAGTAGAGAAGCGGCACCATAAGTCTACGTCTGTTGAGCAGGTGTTTAGGGAACTCCGTGGAGTCTTGCACCACTACACGAGCAACGCCTTGCTTGCTGTTAAATCCACATCTTCCTCTTGAACCGCGTCCCTTCACCAAGGACATGCTCAGCTGCACATGAGCCGCAGGAGTCCGAGCCTTTAAGGAATTACTGCCCCTCGAACTGACCACATAACGTGTTTCTTTTAAGTCACAGAGGCAAAATAAAGCATGGAGGCAGACTAGAAGCATCTAGGCAGGCAGTTACTGCACCTTAGAGGAGGGGAAGTACTAATTTCCAACTGGAGCTGGCAAACTTGAGCAAAGTTTGAGCAAAAAACAAATTTATCATTTTCAACCCGTGAATACGTGTTGAACACAGCGGTGAAAGACGCCCGTCTGCAAGGCCTGTATGTGAGAACTCTTTATAAATGTCAAAGAGAGACAGCACGAGCAATAGGAAGACACGTTTTCCACAAGCTCTCCTGTTACCAGGTCTCATCTCTGAGGTGAAGGGACCGACTTTGCGACGAAAGGCAGTTATCAGCTGCGAGAAACCATTCAAGGCCCTGGCCCCTCTGCCAGACTGCCCACCCAAGGGCTAAACCATCAAGGTGTTCTGGGATGGAGACAACTGTCCTCTGAAACCTGAAGTCATCACCGGAGGTCACACAAGCCAGTCAGAAATCCATTTTAAAAAGCACTGTTCAACGTGCAGTCTGCGTTAAATGTGTCAGGAGAGTTTTTCACTCGGAGTCAAAAAAGTCTCAGAGAACGGGTTTAGACCTTCGGGCAAAAAGTCCAGCATCTCTTTCTGGAGAAGGCGCCAGAGTGCAATTACAGTCAGCTGGCCAGTGGTATCGAGTCCTCTGTGGTTTGTTCCCTGAGCTCTTCCTAATGGGGTGTACTTGCTAGTCGTTAATCTGACGGACTCTAGACATGCAGTGCGGCACTTGGCATTCATCCTTACCTTTCAGACCAATTTAAAGTTACTGGTCCACCCCTGGCAAATGTCTCAGAGGGTTCATGCCGACACTGAACACAGGAGAGGAGAGAATTTAAAAAGAAAAACACAACAGTGGTATTATTTGTCACCCCACAATCCAGCCTCCCTTCCCGCCTGGCACTGTCCCACCCCACCTCACCGGCCTGGGCTGAGAAACTGCCTCCGAGGCTCTGGCGCGATCGCAAACGAAGGTCACCCACACTTGCCTGTTGCCAGGAACCGGTGCATGGCCAGGAGGAGCTGCGGTGATATTTTAACCTTCATCTCGCTGTCTGTCTGCTTGAAGGCAGAGAAGTCCTGCTTCCTGTCCCGATGAGCTACCTTCTTTTTCGTCTTGTTATCGGCTGGGGAAGGGAAGGGGGGGGGAAAGAAAGGAAGGAAGGGATTTCTGTTAGAATGGGGTCCAACACGATGGATGGGATGGCCACCCAGAGCACCCAGGTCTGCAGACAGAGCAGCACACACGAAGCACACGACAGAAACCAGTGAGACGTGCCACGGGCTCATCCCATGTCCCTGTCCTGCAGATCCCACCGTCTCTGTCCCTTCAACAGGGGGAACGTCTCTGCTTGGAAACATCTAGTTGGAGAGCAGCTCTGCATACTACACAGGAGATGTGGGCAAATTTCTAGGTGGAGAGGAGTCCTGCTCAGTGTGGCAACAACTGAAAGGTGGTGTTCTACAAGACTGTCTGTGACAACTACTTTTTTTCACATACATCCCTTAGAAAATTCACAGCAAGTACATAGACTAAATTACTTATTTCTTATGCTGTACCACGGCTTTCCTTATGCTCATTTCTTATTATTTCTCATGCTGTACCACAGGGAACTGCTGGAGAGGGGACAGCAGAGGCTACAGAGATGATGAGGGGTCTGGAGCATCTCTCCTATGATGAAAGGCTGAGGGACTTGGGTCTTTTGAGTCTGGAGAAGAGAAGACTTAAGGCAGATCTGATCAACACCTATAAGTATTTCAAGGATGGGTGTCAGGAGGATGGGGCCAGTCTTTTTTCAGTGGTGCCCAGGGACAGGACAAGAGGGAACGGGCACAAACTTGAACATAGAAGTTCCACCTCAACATGAGGAGGAACTTCTTTCCTTTGAGGGTGGCAGAGACCTGGAAGAGGCTGCCCAGAGAGGTGGTTGGAGTGTCCTTCTCTGGAGACATTCAAACCCCACCTGGACACATTCCTGTGGGACCTGCTCTGGGTGGACCTGCTCTGGCAGGGGGTTGGACTAGATGATCTCCAGAGTTCCATTCCTACCCCAGATCATTCTGGGATTCTGTGATTCTGTTTACAACAGTGGGTTCTGTTCTAGAGTCCTTTGTAGGATGTGGTACTAAACATTTGATTCAGCCACTATCAGAAATGGGTACACTTGTGTGGGAGTCTGGTTTTGTACAGCTTGGGAAGCATTGAGTGTCCTTCTAGGTGATACCTCTTGAAAGAGCACGATCTTAAGTTAAGGGTGCTGGAATATGTAAAACTGCTAGAAACCAAGAAAACCAAAGTCATCACTTTAAAATGACTGGAGTTTTGAGGGCCCACAGGTAGTTCTGGTACATTGATTCACTGCAGAGAATGTGGGCAAGTACACAAAGAGTTGTAGGTGAAGCTCACACCATGAAACCTCACCCATACTCCCAGTTAGGTGCTGCCAGATTCTGAGTTTTGCATACAAAGATGACTAAAGGGACGTACCGTATTAAGGAAGCCACTGAGATTTGAAGTCCTGTAGGTATCCAAATATATGCTACAGACTACATGAGGCTAAAAGCAGTTGAGTTGGGGCTTGGAAATGCACAATAGTGGTAACTAATAGATTTCAAGATTTTCCCAAGTCACATGGCTATTTAGATATTAATACATTTAGATTCTCAACTTCCCTGTTGACAAGCCTCCACTACAAGACTATGACAGATCCAACAGCAACCCTGTACCGACAGTAACCCACCTACTCTAGATTTCTAAAGCTCATTCTGTGAGCAGTGCAAATCAGAAAATCAGAGATGCTTGTTCCCAAGCACATGGAGAAGAACCGTGATGATCTGTGCCCTTTTTCTTCTTTGAAACCAGAAGCCTCTTAGGCTTGTAGCACTTTAGCCAGGACCTGGACTACATCAGGGACTGCGGTTTCTCTTCCAAAAGTAGGAATAGAAACCACCCAAGGGAGTGGTTACAGACTGAAAACAATCCCTTGTCCAATATAGTCCAAGGATATAGTCCAAGAGACTTTATCTGTACTTGTAGTTAAAGGAAAGATGGATTGCAAAGCAATAGCAAGTGAATAGGTGAAAAGTCTCCCAGAGGCTCTCACTACATCCTACCTCTTGTAAGAGGGAAGAAGAACAGAAGCTGTTTTTTCTGAAACGCTCTGAGAATGCTATTTTATTTTTTGTTTTTTCACAATGCTGTAGCTGAGATGCTTTCTCACAAGGAGCTCATTGCTCTCTTCAGGGAGGCAAAAATCAACACAAGTACAAGTTTTGGCCCCGGGACAGGGACAGTAAAGCAGCTCTGTGAATGAGCTGTACCACCACGGGCTCCGTGGTGCACTTCTGGGACCTGAAAACAGCATCCCAACACGAGAGCATGCCTTAAATCTTTCTGTCTGCATCAGTCATCAAGGTAAGAGACTCAGGCTCCTAATCAAACGATGGGTGATTTCAATTCCTCCTACTGTTTCCTTGGCAGCTTGTAAGGAAGAAGAAAGAAGAAGAAACCTTCCCCCAAGAAAAATGTTTCACAGTGAGAGCACAGCCATATGGCTTGAAGCCATTATCTTGGCTTATTTTTGTAAGGGGTGCTCTTAATTGTTCTTCGCTATCCAAACATCTTCTGAGCTTCTTGGAAAACACAGGAACCAAGGATTGGGTGGTGGCGGAAGTAACTGAATCCGGAGCAGGTATTTCCTGTCTGCCCTTTCTCCAGTAAGCGAGATGGAGACCTGACACTGGAGCTGTCTTGGCACGCTGAGGTGATCTCTGCTTACACAGAGCAGTGATGCTGCTTGGTTCTGCGACATGAACAATGTGCTGTGTGAGAAATACCCCAGGTATAACTTCTGGTGAGATATCAACAAATACTGTTAACTATCTTCAGCAGGCTCTGGGAATATTTAAATTTTTCCTTGAAATCAAAGGCCCTAAGGCTGACTGTGAGCTCCTGGGCTGCGGGAGAGGTCTCTTCAAGAAGAGGATAGGTCCAAATACTAGTAAGGTTGTGATCCCTCTTGTAATACTGCTGAGCTTCCAGGCCTGATGCAGAACACCACAAATCACAGAATCATAGAATGGTTTGGGTTGGAAGGGACCTTAAAGATCATTGAGTTCCAACCCCCTGCCCTGGGCAGGGACACCTCCCACCAGACCAGGTTGCTCCAAGCCCCATCCAGCCTGGCCTTGAACCCCTCCAGGGATGGGGCAGCCACAGCTTCTCTGGGCAACCTGTTCCAGGCCCTCACCACCCTCATAGTAAAAAATTTCTTCCTGAGATCTAATCTGAATCTTTTTTCTTCCAATTTAAAACCGTTTCCCCTTGTCCTATCATTACACCTTCTGGCAAAGAGTCCCTCCCCATCTCTCCTGTAGCCCCTTCAGGTACTGGAAGGCCGTTATAAGGTCTCCCCGGAGCCTTCTCTTCTCCAGGCTGAACAATCCCAGCTCCCTCAGCCTGTTTTCATAGGAAAGGTGCTCCAGCCCTCTGATCATCTTCGTGGATGATGGCATCTACTTCCTTGAAGGACCCAGAAGGTTACAGAGCAGGGAGTTCAGACCTCAGGTCACCCATTCAGGTGGGCAGGGAGGCAGCAGAGAGAAGGGAGCTGCAAATGCCCCCGGACATCATCCTGGGATGGGTTCTTGTTCTCTTCCTGTGCTTCCTTTTGTCCTTTTGTCTTTAGGATCTGTACTAACCAGGTTAGACATCTGCAGCGAGCTCCAGCCTAGAGAATGACAGCCTACACCCCACACACTGCATGGGTCTTTTTAAGCCTATGAGTTTGTTTCATTTATTAAAAAAAAAGAAAGGGGGCTTAGGAATTAACTAACTTATTTTTGCCAGTTCTTTCTGTCTCTAGCCAGGAAAACCAGGCCACCCTGTGTATCACACCTGTTTTGGCAACTAACAAAAAAGCACCAGGACTAAACCTGAAGTTCTAAAACCAGCCTGAAATAGCTTCCCAGAAGGATGGGGTTCTTGCAGCCTACGGGTGGTAGAAAGCAGAAGGTTGGCAAGAATAGAGTCCTAATTGCCAACAAAGTAAAAGCAGCAGCCTTGGTCTCTCTAAAGATTAGCTTCCATCTACACAAAGCTCTGCTCTCCTGGTGCAGAAGACTGATGTACACTCTGCCAATACCTGTAGGTCTTGCCAGACAAATCAGTGTTGCACAACCTTTTCTGTATTGCTAGTTTCACTGGATGACAGTAGAAATACTTATTAGAGCAAACAATTTTTATTCCCGTAGCCCTATGTGAAACAGAAGCAGTGATACAGAGTTTACCAGCACATGTATTTAACGTACCTGGTTTGACAGCTGTTTGGAAATAGGGATGTTAGGGTGAGATCTGGTCTTCCCCCCAGGGAAATGACTTGCAAGGCTAAAAACAAACCATCAGGGGAAAGCTATTGCAGCTGCAGCAGTGCAGCTCTGTAAAATTCAATGTCCCTGCAGCCTGGACCTGCCAGGGGTCACAGTGTCTGAGACAGACCCACTGAGCAGCATCTGGGTGAGCAGGTAAAAATGCAACATAAGCTGGTGCTTACAACCAGGTACTTGTCCCAAGTCACAGGCAATGGGGCAAGAGGAAAAGGCCTCAAGTTGCACCAGGGGAGGTTCAGATTGGAGATGAGGAGCCATTTTTCCATGGGAAGGGTTCTTAAGCCTTGGAATGGGCTGCCCAGGGAAGGGGTTGAGGCCCCATCCCTGGAGGGATTTCAAAGCCGGGTTGCCATAGTGCTTAGAGCCATGGGTTAGTGATGGTTTTATCAGAGTGAGGTTTATGGTTGGGCTGGATGATCTGAAAGGTCCCTTCCAACCCAGACAATTCTATGACAATCCTATGCTTCTACTTGCCTGCAGCACGCAGAACACATGCACAAGGGTGTGTTAAGATATTTCATTTGTAGAAATACCACAGATTTTATGTGGGACAAAGCTTCTCTGAATCTGTATGTGTAAAAATGGCAGCATTGCAGTTGCACTAAGGGGATGATTAAACTCATCTTCAGTTAGAAAGATCTAAAGAAGACAGGCCACTGGCCAAACTCAGGTCAGAACGGTGAACAAAATGTTCCTCAAGTGGACTCTGCAATCTGAGGCCAACACAGAACATAGAGCTTTCTCTCTGGTGCCTCTGAGAAGGCTCAGAAACGGTCTCCCACCACGGTTAGGGCCATGGGAGTGCAGGACAGACACCTCTTGTATGTCAAGCATGAAAACATCCTCCAGCTTTCCAATACTAAGAGCCAAATGCACTGACAGCTCTTCATCGTCACACTGGCCAAGACAAACTCAGAGCCCACCTGTGCCATGGCAAAAACCTCTTCTCTCCACCCCATCAGCATCCTCAGTACAAAGTCTCATGCTCAGAAGTACTTGGTCCATCCAGATGTTGATAGGTCACACACATTTAACAGTTTTTCTTGCTCCCATCTTCTCCTTGCTCCTAACTTCTCTGCAAGCCGTAAGACACAGCAGACTAGAGCAGCCTGAAGACATACCACACGTTTCTTGGGTATACAACCCTTGAGAAATTCAGCTGCAGAGCTTCAGCAGTAAGAGCAGCTTTCAGCAAAACCTGTATATTTACAAGTGCTTCTACCTTAACACAGTTCAAATGGATTTTCATGGAAACAGCAGAAAGGCACAGCTCCAACACCAAGGTCAGCCATTTCATCAAATTTCAAGTTTCCATCAGAGCAAAACAAAACATTTTTTTAAACTTCAGAACAAAGGCATAACAACACTGCCAACGTTTTTCATAAGGTCTACTTTTAAGTAAACACCTAGCATAGAGCAGATCAGTCCAAGGGTTTAAAGTTGGTTTGGTATGAGCTGAGCAAGCCAGTTTGGTCTTACAATCAACAGCATCAGAGAACTCTAGTACTAGATGGGGTTAGTAGCACTGACATACGGATATCAATATCAAAAAATGAGCTGCCTTAACATATCATGGACAATAAGGTACTTCCAGTAAACCCAAAGCATGTTCCCATCACTACACCAACTGGAAGTGGTCACAGCACATCAATCTGACCAAATCCAGAACCTATCACATTTTCTGTGATCTTTGCAGCTTCTCTGGATTTCTGCTCTCTCCTTTACTGCTGCAATTCCTTCAATCGAAATAGGGGAATGAACTCCAGGGCTTCATAAAGAAACTAGAAGTTCATCTTCATGGTACGTAACAGGAGCCACCCTTCAAAATCTCCTGCATCCTCCAGGAAGCTCAGGAAGTTTCCCTCCTATTCTGAACCAGGAATTTTCAACAGTAAAACCTTCCCAGGAAGGAGAGTTTCAAATGAACTCACGTTCACAAGCTCTATTTTGTTAATCTAGGAAGCCCTCATATAGTAAAATTAAATTCTCATTTCCTTGCCCTCTAACATGCTATTAATGGTCAAAGCTTTTTTTGTCCTGAAGGACAACACAGCATGATCTATGTGGTTTCTCTTAACAAAGAAGGGGGAAAACTCATTGAAAAGCATTCTGCAATGCCTCTTCACTCCTAGAACCATGGACCGACCTCAAAGGTGATGAGACAAAGACAGGATCTTTTTGGAGTATAAAAGGAAGTCTGAATTAATCCTGCAAAAGCATTCTGTGGTAACTGATTAGTCCAACAATTCATTTGTAAAGGTTTGCAAAGAAATCGATACTAACTGGACTTCTGTGATTTGCATAGTAATTAGACTGTTTAGCATATTGTAAAACACAACTGTGATTTAGAGGAACCTTTGGGCACATAAATACTGGTAAAATACTGACCAGCTACAGAAAGTAGTTCAGGCAATAACAATCTATTAGGAAAAGTAGAAGTACATTTGTCCCACGGTATAAAGTGTTCACTTGGCTCGGAGGGAGCAGAGAAGATGCTTGCATTGGCCTGAAAAAGGCGCTGTAGAAACATTCAGATCCCTTTCACAAGGGAAGAAAAAGTAAGCAAAACACTGCTGAACAGCGTTAAAGATATTTATAATTATTATTTCCACTATTTCTATTACAATAGAATCTAGGAACATCCTTGTGCTACTTTTATGTCGTAAAAAAATAGCATCTGCCACCAAGTGATCAAAGTAGAGATAAGAGAGATGAAGAATGACGGAAAGGAAGCCCAGTATGCACAGCCCAGATTGTGCAGATGGGAAGAGAAGCAAAGACACTTTAGGTAACTGGCCAAAGACCAGACAAACTCTAAACTGGGAAAAAAAAAAGAGTCCAGATGTCTCAAGTCCCAGCCAATGCTCAACCTGCAGCATGGTCACCCTCAATGTACGTTAAAAAGAAGGAAGGAAGGAGCTGCACTGGGTGATGAACAGGGGAATTATTTAGGACATGCTGGTTTTCAGCCCTGAAAAATGAGTGACAGAAAGCGACCATAAAGAGACTCCACTCCCCTTCCCTGAGGCATGGTATTTCCCTGCCTTCTTCCTAAAGTACATGGACTACAGGCCCTTGAGGCAGAAAGAGGGTAGGGGAAAACGTGGGAGGTCCTGAGCACTGTAACAAAAAGTTTTGACAAGGCCACTGTGGTGGAGAACAGCCATCAGGAGATATCAGACTGTTGCAGATGTACACCTTCTTGATGGAGGGGTCAAATAAAGAAAGCTGTCCTGTTTCTGAATTAACACAGCACAAAGGAGTGAGATGGCCATGCTGAGCAAATAAAAACTGCTTTGACCATCTAAGGGATCTGCAGGTCATTTGACCATTGAGACTTTAAATCAGCAACTTGCATCCCAAAACACAGCTACCAGACATAACTGCTGACGGAGTCTTCCCTCGCATCTAAAAACAAAGTGCAAATATTTCTACTCACTGTATAGATCTGTTTCATCCAGAATTTCAGACTTGATGATCTCTTCAATCACATCTTCTAAAGTGACAATTCCCAGGACTTCATAAAAAGGATCCCCTTCTCCTTCATTGTTAACTCTTTGTACTATGGCCAGGTGAGACTTGCCTGCAAGGAGACAAATCAGCAATTTAGACATTTTAGATATTCCCAAAAGATCAGAAATTAGAGCAGAATTACAGACACACAGTTATAAATGAAAAGGTAAAATGGTTGGTGTCAGGCTTCATGAAAAAAGAGGCAAAGTTTAACAGATGCTTAAAATCATAGTTTGATTTCTGTCTGAGAAAAACATTCCTGGCTCACACAAATCCCCCTAACGCGCTGAAAGAGAACAGCTAAAGAGATCAGCTTTCCCTTTCTAACGTCTTTCCCAGGGAGACTGTCAACCTGGCCTTGGATTCATTATATTATCTTGTTGATGATTGTTCCACTTCTTGTCTCATGCACTGGCAGAGGAAGGCCAGGCTGGAGCTCTCCTTTGCAGCGAGTTCCCCAGGATGTTCTCCTCAAGCTTGGAAACAACAGCAGTAATGGCCAAACCACAGAAGCACGTGGACAGGGTAGAAGAAGTCAGCCCACTCCACGAGTTTCTCTTTTCCTCCTCCCTCACTCTATAATAATTTATTTAGACATGCTCCACGCAGGGAGGGGGAACACAACTTATTTAGGAACTGATTAATTAAAATATTCAAAGTGACAGCGTCTGATCAACAAAGAAAAAAGCAAAGATGAGATATATTAGTGGCTCTAAAGATCCCTGAGCTGTGCATCACTCACAGTGTATTCTATAACTCTTAAAGTCCTATCTGCCACAGGAATAATAATAACAATAATCATTGTAATTATAATATCATGACCCTTTGAATCTGCTTTGATATCCTTGATTGCCAGTTCCCCTCACTGCCATTAAAAGCTGGACCTCTGTAAAGCCGCATAAAAAGTAACGTGTATTCAAAGGGTTCACCTCATACAAGTGGAATTTAGAAGTATAAATACAGCAGATACCAACATGCTTCCCAAACTATCAGGAGGTAAGCAACGTCCTCTCAAATTCTTTGCCAGTCCCCAAACCGATACTTCTCCCCATCGTGGAAGATAACCAAAATAGTTCAACTTTGCTTAGACCCCTTTATAGGCAACAACGTCTGCGTGGTTTAAGATTCAGATTATTAGACTAGCAAGCATTCAAACTATTCCAACCCAGACTTACTCATGGTTAAAGAATGAAAATATCCTGAACAAATTAGTCGAGGGAGGAAAACTTATCAACTACTGATATAAACATTGCATCAGGTCAAGTCAATTCACTTTGGTAAGTTTTTCACATCTGCTTTCCCAGGGACCCAACATAAGCAGTTAAAAACAAATTCTTGGTGAATGCTGTCTGTCGAAAGTTAAATTCTTTTGCTATTCCCAGCTTGTGATCATTTAAAAGGAATTTTCCAAAGCAGGGTCTAATATTAGACTCAAAATGAAGTTTCCATTCCACTTAGGCGATATTCTCACCAAAGTAACTACTGCATAATCTGATTGTCTTGGAGCTACTCGTTTAGATGCAGATGGACATACTTTAAATACCAACTCCCCAGCACTGCTGAGTCTTATCTTGAGGAGACCTTATTCTACAGTGAATTAACAGAAAGATGATTTGTGATTTTAAAGGATCAACACTCATATTGTACTGAAAGTCTTTTGCTGTGCCAGATTTATTTCTTCGCATTCTTTGCAAGAATTCCAGCTCTAAATACTGCTCAATGAACAGCATTTAAAAAAAAAAAAAGGTGACAATAAAAAGATAAAAGATCTAAGTGCTATTATCATTGCTGTTCCTCTACAATATACTACCCCAATTACATCCTATCAATATAACAATGTTCAAGAATTACTGTGGCACAAAAAAAATGCCACATGGACAAACTAAACTATTGTAATTTATTTCAGATATCAGTATATTTGTTTTCAAGTCAAAAGGCATAACACCTTCAAGAAGTATTTCTATCACAGACCAAAGGAGCTCATTTGCACACACTCATTCAGATGCTAATTCCCAAGGATCACTGTTCTCACACATTTGTAAGTGCCCAGGGTGCCCAGATCTGTACAAGTGAGTGAAATAAAAACCCCAACAAACAGCGCTATCGACTGGGGGGTTTCTGCTTTGATCAGAATCACCAAATTACAGCTTCTCCTCCACTTCTGCATTGCCTACCGTGAAGCTGAACTAGGTGAACTCTTTCTAACAGCAGAGTCCTGGACACATCTACAAGCAATGGGAGAGATTTATGGATTTATGGACCCGAGGGGCTGTAACACCACGGGAAGCTGTGGATGACTTTCAGCCACAAAACCACTTATGTGCCCTTTCCATCGGAGCAGTCTCCACCAAGAGTTTAGGATGATTAAAATACATTACACTCTCCCCATTTTAGCAGCCTCTGCACGCTGAGCTGACCCCCAGTACCTGGTGTGAGACAAGGGACCAAAATCCGTACCAGCTGCTGCTCTCTTATGCAAAGTGAGCTGAGAAGGAATTAGTTATGGATGGGTATCAGATATTTGGCACTTCCTATAATGAAAAAGATGGCTAGAAACATTTTTTTCTGCCTCTACCATAACCTCTGATTTCTAGGTTTTTTTATTTATCACCCAAAGTATTGAGACCATTGAAACTTGTCATAGTTTCAAATGTCATTGGACTTTTGGGTGCGTAGAATCAAGGTTCAGCTCTACCTTTGTTATTAAAATTACATGTTGCAGAGAGTGTATCTGTTGAAAATAGATATATTTTCAAATGCAGGCTGGCACTAACCTTTGCTCCCTCTAGACTGTCGGGTTTTCCTGTTCCTGGCTTTCAAGAACCCATCACTTTATGAATTTAGGCCAATCTAATCGGGCTGCTTCTACAAGGCTGCCTTTTGCTCCCGAAGTCTTCTCCTTCCTTTGCATGGCTCCGATGCTCATGCAATCACTTGATGAGACAGAACAGATGTGAAAACTATATTTCTTGGGTCTCTGTAAATTAATTTTGATCCAGATCCAATAATTTTCCAGAAATCATCAGACAGTGGAATAAGTGTCAGTGCTGGTGATGGAGGTGGCACGAAGATGCATTCCCAGACTGGCTGCCCTCTCAGGCTGCTGCACAGCTGACTGCAAAGTACCCTCCATGCAGGGGAGTAATTAAGGCAGAAAAGGCTAAAGAAAAAACTAGGGGAGTGCAAAGATTTCTTTATACTTCATAAAAGAGCACAACACAGCATGTGCCCAACTTTAAAAGTGGCCTGTGAGTAAAATAATGACTCCTCTGAGCGTTTTAAATAGGAATTGGCTACAGCTTTATTCAAAGACTTTATCAGGCTACTGGCATTTGTCATACTGTTTTATTCAACTGGGAAAGAGAGGTTTCAACTGTATTTTCCACTGCTAAGGACATACAATACATATCCAACAAGAAGCTGAATAAAGTAAACGCCCAGGTAAGGAAACCTGGATTGTCTCTATTAGTCCTAGGGCTTTGCGAGCAGAACACAAATTAAACAGAGAGAGCAAGTGTGCATGGAAAATATATAAATAATTATCTATACTTCACTGATTTTCTGGCCACAGTCTCTAACCATAGTACATCTATGACATTAATCTTCCTTTAATCACTTGGTTTAAGCGTTGATACAATGAGATTTAGCAAGCAGGTGGTTCTGCAGCCCTGCCAGATCTGGTGATAAAGGCAGAAATGACCCGAATGAGGTGCCATAAGCAGCCCTAGCAGAAAGCTGGGGGCAGTGCTCTGACTCACAACTCCTCTGAAGCCACAGGCAGGCAGCATTTGCCTTCTGCCTCAGTTTCCCCCATCTACAGCAATGGTGGGTAGCACCAGCAAGAGCTTTACGTGTCCGCAGCTTCAGGGACAACTTGTGACAAACGCTGATCTCTCACCTACGTTCATGCTAAAGGACCAAGGAGTTTTGCTAAGAGCAAATCCAGTCCCATCCCCCTGCTCAAAATCTTGGATTTTGCTCTGTACCTCAACTTCTGATTAATTTATTAAGCTAATTAAGAAGCATGAAGATGCTTAGTGAAATCCGCATGAGTCAGTGAACCTAGAATGAGCTCAAGAGAGTCCATGTGATTGACTGACCATGCAGAACAGCACTGGAACAAATGCTTGAAATGCTGATTCTCTTACAATACCTTCAACATTCCTTAAAAAAAAAAAAAAAAATTAAAACCAAAAAATCACCCTTTGATCCAGAGGTATCTATACATTTAGAGCAAAGACACTGAGGTGCCGGAGTGTGTCCAGAGAAGGGCAACGGAGCTGGGGAGGGGTCTGGAGAAGAAGTCTGATGAGGAGAGGCTGAGGGAGCTGGGGGGGTTCAGCCTGGAGAAAAGGAGGCTGAGGGGAGACCTTCTGGCTCTCTCCAACTCCCTGAAAGGAGGGTGTAGCCAGGGGGGGTTGGTCTCTGCTCCCAAATCCCAGGCGATGGGACAAGAGGAAACGGCCTCAAGTTGCACCAGGGGAGGTTCAGATTGGAGATTGGGAACAATTTTCCACGGAAAGGGTTCTTCAGCCTTGGAATGGGCTGCCCAGGGCAGGGGTTGAGGCACCATCCCTGACCAGAGCAGATGTTGAGCTTGGTCAGTTGTTTTCATCTCTCATTTATGCTGCATGGCAATATTTTTGACGTCATAGAATCACAGAATTGTCTGGGTTGGAAGGGACCTTTCAGATCATCCAGTCCAACCATCAACCCAACTCTGATAAAACCCATCACTAACCCATGGCTCTAAGCACTATGGCAACCCGGCTTTGAAATCCCTCCAGGGATGGGGCCTCAACCCCTGCCCTGGGCAGCCCATTCCAAGGCTTAAGAACCCTTCCCGTGGAAAAATTGTTCCCAATCTCCAATCTGAACCTCCCCTGGTGCAACTTGAGGCCGTTTCCTCTTGTCCTAATTCCTGGAGCTAGATACTGATGGGAAAAGAGGCAATGGACACAAGTTTCAAAAGTGGAAACTCTCCTTAGATAAGCAAAACTTGTTCCCCATGAGGGTGATCAAACACCAGAACAGGGGCCCAGCAGGGCTGTGAAATCTCCACCTTTGGAG